TATAGTACATATGTGCTAGATAGTAAATGTTTAATTTGCCTGCTAATTGATGGTAAAAGTTCTGGGCCAAACTGGAGCCGCAGCCAGTTACAGGCGGCCAATGCTCGAATTGAACTGAAAACTTTGGATCAATAAAGGAGGGTCCGGATAAAGGGGATTTGTGATGGGTTGTAAATAATATAGTCGATGCACTCTGCACAGGGTGTATTCACATCAGAAATTTATAAAGCCATTAGCACGAAATTAATTTATTAGAGTGTAATTGCTTTCGTATTGATTTCAATAAATTGAGGTAATAAAAGTACATGGGTTTTTATAAAATAACAACTTAATCAAATGTAAAACATTACAAATTCCAATTAAACTAATAAAGAAACCTCTTCCCTCCAGAAATGGTATGTCTTCAAGAATGTAAGCGAGCTGTTCATCCTGGTGCCGGCGCTATTGGGTCTGAAGGGAAACCTGGACATGTGCCTGGCATCGCGACTCTCCACGCAAGTGAACCTGGGCAACATGACCAGTCGGCAGAGCGTGATACGGATGATAGTGGGGAACATAGCGCTGGTGCAGGTCCAGGCGACGGTGGCCTCCTTCCTGGTGGCCATGTTTGCGGTGAGCGTTGGTGCGGCGATGACCGGCGATTTCTATTTCGAGAACATGATGCTGCTGACTGCCTCGGCGATGTTCACGGCCACCTCGTCGTGCTTTGTGCTGGGTAGGATTTCACATGCTATTTTCATTTGACATGCCAATTAACAGCGTCGTTTTTTTCAGACTTTGTTTTGGTGGCTGTAATCCTGTTCTCGCAGAAGTACCGCCTCAATCCGGATAATCTAGCCACACCGTTAGCCGCCTCTATTGGCGATGTGGTGTCCATCAGTTTACTCTCCTTTATCGCCTCGCTGCTGTACGATCATATCAGTAAGTTGAACCTCATCCCTGTGTATTCCATATAAATTATTATTGTTTCCTCCGCACAGAAACGCACCTGTGGATCACGTTCATCGTGGTCACCTGCTACCTGGTGCTGCTGCCCATGTGGGTAATGATCGTGCTGCGGAACGAGTACACGCGACCGGTGCTAAAGAGCGGATGGGTGCCCGTCCTCTCGGCCCTCTGCATAAGTGGGTACGTAGTACTGCGCACTCCGCAATCTATTCGATCGGATCGTATGATGGACTCTCGAGTCATGCGAAATTGGGGCCATGATAAGCAGAAAAAAAACGTCAAGTTGCCCACTATATTTAGATATATCAGCCAGAATTTAGTGCCAAATCATCTCCAGGCAACTGAATCCGAACGCTATTTATATAAATCTGGGGAACAAGTAGTAGTTAAGTCCCAAGAGACCATGGGAAACATTCGCACGGATGGATGTCCCTGACTCGTGTTTGGCGGCAGGTCAAGCGCACTTATAATTAGAATCAGCAGTAGGATTTAAATTCCCGGGCGTAATTATTCGCCATGACTTTGGGATTTGCGCCTACAGAACTTCGTAAAACAAACACACTTTAGTTTACTCAAATCAAAGCTAGGAAAACATTAGATTTGGTGTATTTAATCTTTAATAACATACAGATAACGCATTTGTAGCTTTTTAAATGCAAATGCATGGGAAAGCAACTTTTTATTTTTTTATTTTTCCCTTATAAACATTTAAGATTAAATTTCACAGCACTTTTGCGAAAATGTAATGTAAATCAAGAATGACCAACAAATTTATGGTTCTAAGTACTTCATGTTAATGTTTCTGTAACCATTATGTGACGGAATTTAAATAGATCTAAGCCTGGTTTGTTTGCTCAACTGATTACTGATCTTGTCGGCATCTTATTGCAGTCTGGGTGGCCTTGTGTTGGATGCCGCTGTCGAGGTGTTTACTGGATTCGTGGTGTTCCAACCGATCATCAACGGAATCGGCGGCAACCTGGTGTCGGTGCAGGCCAGCAAGATATCCACAATGCTGCACCAGAGCTCAATTATCGGGATTATACCACCGCACACGCAGATCTTCGAGTGGCCCTGGCGGGCGCTTTTCAAAGGAGGTAATATACATTCAGATTGGCTTAATGGTCAATATTAATGTTTTGCTTTCTTCGGTAAACAGTTCCCTATGCGAAGACGGCGAGGATACTTATTGCCATGTCCATCCCTGGCAATATTCTGTTCATCTTTGCGGCTGATTACATCAATTACAGCACCTCCACGGTCACCTGGGTGTTTGTGCTTTCCTATCTGACCGCCAGTTTAGTGCAGGTGAGTTCGGAAGCTAAACAAAAATATAAAATACCTATTTATCTTTTTGTATATTCATAAATTGATACCAAATGTTAGGGTGTTTAAATTGAATTTCAATGAGAATGTATAACATGTTATATCTATTAGTATATATCTATATTGCATGTCACTTTTAATAATAGCTGTAAATAATTCAAATTAAATGATTTAAAACAAAACAAGAAAGGAAAGCTAACTTCGGGCAGAGCCGAAGTTGATATACCCTTGCAGAATACTCTATAATTATATTCTCCAAAATTATTCCTATGATGCATTCTTAATACTCATAAAAAATCCAAACTTCCTAACTTTACAAACACCAAAGTTATGGCATTTCCGATCAATCAGTTATATGGCAGCTATAGGATATAGTCGGCCGATCCTTATGAAATTTGGTAGGTCGGATTGATTGGCCAAATATAAAACATATAGAAAATCCCAACTTTCTAACTTTACAAACACCAAAGTTATGGCATTTCCGATCAATCAGTTATATGGCAGCTATAGGATATAGTCGGCCGATCCTTATGAAATTTGGTAGGTCGGATTGATTGGCCAAATATAAAACCCATAGAAAATCCCAACTTCCTAACTTTAAAAAAACGAAAGTTATGGCATTTCCGATCAATCAGTTATATGGCAGCTATAGGATATAGTCGGCCGATCCCGGCCGTTCCGACTTATATACTGCGTGCAAAGGAAAGAAGGGTGTGTGCAAAGTTTCAATTCGATAGCTTTAAAACTGAGAGACTAGTTTGCGTAGAAACAGACAGACGGACAGACGGACAGACAGACGGACAGACGGACAGACGGACATGGCTATATCAACTCAGGAGGTGATCCTGATCAAGAATATATATACTTTATAGGGTCGGAGATGCCTCCTTCACTGCGTTGCACACTTTTGACCAAAATTATAATACCCTCTGCAAGGGTATAAAAAGCTATGAGGTCATCCCTTCCCCAAAAGCAAACACTATTCTTTAAACTTGCAATAAAACTAATGATATATGTAGTTAAAACACCAAAAAACAATTGCTAATGCATTGCCATCGTTTCAGGTGATGCTGCTGCTGTATATTGCCCACATTATTGTGCACGCGATGTGGAAGTGGAAGATCGACCCGGATAACTCGGCCATACCCTACCTGACGGCCCTGGGCGATCTGCTGGGAAGCAGTCTGCTGGCGGTGGCGTGGCTCTTCACCATGTCGGTGGGCATGCAGTACGGATCCGGAATGCAGACCCTCAACGCACCCAACTAAATTAGCAAACGAAATAGGGAATACGGAAAAATTGTAGAACGATAAACAAGGCAGCCACACACACCACACAATATAAAGAACTGTTATGTACCTAAAAAATATATAGAAAACATAGAAATTGTACGTATAGCATCCAGTCCCCGAAAAAAACTCCCAACACCAAACGGAAACGGAAACCAATACAAAACGAACTAACTTTTAATGATGCATGTCGAATGTTCGAGGCGAGAGATATTGAGAGAGATGATATCCTTTTACATTGTGTCCTTCTTCACATGGCTTTTGCTTGTGTTCCTTTTGCTCTACCAAGAAATTATGTGCGATTATGGTATATATACAGGCTATATATAGGCATATGTAGATTTGCAGGCCTGCTGCGTCATATTTTTTAAGGCTTTTAGGACAATATTATACACATTTAAAAAAATATATACATTGTATAGGGAGAAAAAGAAGACGAAGAATAACTAAAAGAACATTTACGCAAAGCAAATTGTTTCCACCCACTTCGGTTCTTGATTCTTTTGCTCTGGTTTACCTTAAGCAGCCAAAAAATAATTGCAAAATATAGTCGTAAATAGAACCTACTTAATTCCTTAATTTACACTTATCAACCCATTGGTAGTATTATTGCAGATTTGATTTTTGCAAGTCTCGCTTTCGATTTTGTGCTTTTTTTTTTAATATTACGTTTCTCATTGTCCCTTTTCCATTTCTCCGTTGCCCACGAGCGAGTGTAAAAGAAAAGCAATAATTAACGCGCGGAAAACGATCTTTATTATTGCAAATTAGTTAGGACGATGGGAAGTGTATGCAGGAGTCTGTACGTTCCGCAACAAAAAGTGAACAGGGATTAAAACGATGAGAATGAGAGACGTTCTGAAAGGAAATGTGATCGATATTTAGTTATAACAATATTAATAATTATAAATTAATGAACAAAGTAAAAGAAAAGGCATCAATATTGTGTAATACTTGAAACAATAATACCAATTAAATAAATATGTTGGAATAAACGAAAGCAAACAAACTCGTTCATAATAAGGGTGTTTTGGTTTTATATATATACATATATACAAGTCCATTGGTAATCAAACTCTTAGCACTGACTTTACCCTGATAAGAAAGTTTTAACTAAGTAAATGGTAATTAACAGTGAATATTATCCACTGGTTGGCGGTGTTTTCTATTAATGAAAGAATACAAATAATATCCTTACAAATAATACAGATTACAATTCAAATTCATATATTTCCTAAAAGATTTATTTGTATTCATCAAAGCGATAATCAGATAATGCCACAAAAAGATTACAGATACTAATTAATATTCTGTTACTGCGTTCGCAGTGTGAACGTTTGGCGGCAAACTGTAAAACAGACGCACATCTCTAGAAACTATCGATTGGTTTCTAGAGATGTGGTTTTGTTTCACAGTAAACTAAACAGTTTGCAAGGGCAACCAACTTCACGTTGATGCGGAATTTAAAATTAGCGCGACGCGGCAATTAACAAAATACAAATTTAATTCCAAAAAGGTTGTTATTTATTTGTCCAGAATGTCGCATATGTTGCCCCGCCGGACCAGCGAGTTCCGTGGCGATATGCTGGACGAGCGAGGCACCGTGGATAAACGACAGACTAGGTGAGTTGCCCAAAATCTCTGGACAAAAAGATGTTAAGATCACGCATATCCGTTATCCAGGACAAATAAGCGCAGCGCAGCCACGCACACTCCGTCATCCAGCCAGGCAATTCCCAAAAGGTGGGTACTCTCATTAGACAATCGCCAATTTACATCCTACATAATGCCGCATTCCAATCCCCTCCAGATCCTCGGCGTCGCGTCTGCCGCAGCCGTTGAACTTGGAGCGCGATCGGGCCAGTCAAATGGGCGTGACGCCCAAGCGAGTCCACCGATTTGTGCCCTCCACCGCGGAGCGCGCTGTTCCCCTGCACTCCGACAAGAAATGGGTGGCGGAGCGGGCACAGCAGATACTGGAATACCTCAACGCCGTCCAGCATAGCGAGGGACCCATCAGCGGACTCATCTCGGATCTTTTTAGCCGGGCCGGCGGACTGCGGCACATGACCATCAAGCAGTTCGTGGCCATTCTCAACTATTTGTTCCAACACATTTGGCGCAACAAGGTGACCGTGGGCCAGAACCACGTCGAGGACATTACCAGCGCCATGCAGAAACTCCAATATCCCTATCAGGTGAGGAGGGAAACCATAGATCATATGCCCTTGCAGTTGAGAACAGATGTAGGATAAAGTCTTCTAAATTTGATTTAATTCAAAGGGTAATATTAATGATCATGATTTATTTAAATCAGCAAAGGAAATCAGATTTGGGCAGATCATATCACATATCAACAACTTCATAAGCTATTATATTAAATATTGGGACTTAATACAATTCAATAGATCATCCTTAAATGTATATTATTATATATCAACAACAACAAAGCTTATAGTGGCGGGAATGCCTCTTTCAATACCTTCAAAAAGTGTTACTCCTTTAATAATATATTCCCTTTAATTAAATATTTTTATCTACAACCAATTTGTTACTTTCAGGTAAACAAATCCTGGCTAGTGTCGCCTACAACCCAGCATTCCTTCGGCCACGTGATCGTCCTGCTGGACTTTCTCATGGACTTTGCACCACCTCTGCCCTCCGCGGATGAGCTGGACGAAGAGTTTCCCTTCATGGAGACCACCGAGCAGCCCAGCTCGTATCTGAACAGCATGCACTGCGAAACGATGGCCACCATGTCCACCACCCAGGTGCATGCCGTGCAGCTGGACGAGGAGGTCAACGCACTGCTCTTCACTGAGGCCAGCAAATGCATTGTCCTGTGGGATCAGGAACTCTCCAAGGAGGAGGCCATGTTGCAGGCGAAGACCAGCGATCAGGTGATTAGCAAGAAGTGCGATTTGCCGGATCGCGAAGCCCTCGACCAGAAGATCGTCGAACTAAGGGGGAAGTTGCAGCATCTAGAAGATAAGCTGCAGAATCCCAGCGACGACAAGAAACTAGAGAAACTGGAGCGGCTCAACAAGGAGCAGGATAAGCTCAGCCAACAGCTGACTGGCGTCCAGGAGCAACTCAACGAGCAGATAAACGCTTTCGGCCAGCTGTCCGCCAACGTTGAGGAAAAACAGGCGGAGATTAAGAAGCAATTGAAGTACGAGCAGCGCCTGGAGCAGGCTGTAAACAGACAGAAGTACTCCGCCCAGCAGCTGAAAACGCTTCAGATGAAGTGCAACGATATGGAGAACTACTCCAAGGCCTACGAGCGCCAGGTGAAGGAGGTTTCTGAGCTGGAGCTTCACCAGCAGGTGATGCTTTCGCGGGCCAAGCAAAAGCAGCTGGACTCCGTCGAGGCTTTCAACTCGCATGCCCGCCACTTGGGCATGGACCCGGTGATTTGCGGCCTGGTGAAGGGCGGCGGTGGCCAGCCGTTGGACTTAACGCTGCCGCTTAATCCCAAGCAGGAAGACATCGCTGAGCGGACCCAGTGCCTCGAGTTACTGGGCAATCTTCTTCATCAGCAGCGCCAAGAGAACATCGAGCGGTGTCAGATGCTGGAGCAGCAGATAACCAAGTTGAAGAACGATACCCTGGATGTGGACACGGAAATCGAAACCCTGAGTACACACCTGAGGGCGCAGGCACATCGATTGAACAAAATGGAGACGGGCTATCGCACCAAGCGCGAGATGAAGATGCAGCACCAGCAGCAGCTGCTGGAGAATCAGTACGATCAGATCGCCCGCCTGGAGGAGCTGGAGAAGCAGCAGGCCCAGGCGCTGGAGAAGCTTAAGATCAGCGAGCAGAAGAACGAAAATCTAGTCGCCGCCGCCGAGCAGTATCAGGAGCAGGATCACGAAGTCCGCAACGCAGCCCTCGACGACTGCGAGCAAAAGCTGGCCGAAGCGGAGAAGGAGCTGGAGGCCCTGGAATCCAAGCTAACTTCCAGCCAGGCTAAGCTGTCCGATGCCGAGCAACGTGTGCTCTCCGCCCCACTGCCCTCCTTTGAGCCAGTGATGCAGGCCATCAAGAAGCGCTGATGCGGTTCTATCACTTTGTTATACAGGTGTTAAGTATTTATTAAAAAACCGGTTTTAAATGAAGTCTGTTTCTGTTTTTCCCGTTTTCCATTTCCATTTGCATTAAGTAACATGGGGGTTTCCTCTGCTCTTGTTGTTCTGCTCAGTTTTGTGCAAAGGGGACAACATGATGTGGCTAAATTCGGATTTAGCTATTACCAATAATGGTTAAAGTAACCAACAACTTATTTAATTTTGGTTTATCAAAACTAATTATAAAGATACAGATAGCGAAAGCAAAACAACGTCGTATTTATAAAAAAAAACAGTCATTAAATGCATTATGAAATGTATTTATTTTGGGTTACATTTGGATAAGGTAAATAGAGTTGGACACGGCGGACCCTGGACAAAGAGGGAGACTCTATCCAGTCCCAATATCAGATTTCTTTAAGTTGCTTATTGCCACACGATTTATGCTTTTGTTAGGGATCTCCGTTGTCTTTTTGGATTACAAATTGCACTTGGAACGGTTTAGCTTTACATGGTTACACATATACACTGAGTGGTGGGTGAAGACGGCAAGGATAACTTAAGCGTAGGCATATATTTATATATAAATATTAAATAATATTATCTTTTGGCCAATTGGGTGTAAGTTGGGGCATGATCGACTTGTGTCAAAGTAAAACTAATTCAAAGCCATTTTAAGCATATAAATTAGTCCAATTTAAACTACACTTTAGTAATACATATATTGAACAGAATTTGTTGCAAAATGTATTTTAATTATATAACATAAAATTATTATATATATACAACTGAAAATTGCATGAGAACTAAACAATATTTGATTTTCAAATTACGGATTTTAATGTTTCATGTGTATGCAATTATTTTTCTCATTTTTTTTTTTGAATTCTTAAGTGATTAAGAAATATGGCTTTAAATTGTTCCGAGATTATTATCCCTACAAGTCGACCTGCTCCACAATATAGGTACAAAAAAGTGAGAGTACGAGAAGTAGTTATAAATTCCACATTGAGACCGAGACATTTGTTGCGTAATAAATAATTATCATTTAGCTTAGTTCGATTTTATACAATGTCCAATGGGGCTGACGTCCTCAGACAATGAAGACATCGCCACTGCTGCGCTCCACGGCGGAGGTGGCCACATCGCCGCCACAGCCGGGCCGACCGGCTTGTGTTGCGGCCGAGATCTTGGGTTCCTCCGGCTGATTGGCTTTGTCGAGCAGCTCCGCCTCGCGTCCGATCTCAACGATGCCCTGCTGCTGCTCGCTGATCGCGTTGAGGGAATCGTACGACTCGTGTGCCTCGTCCTGGCCAGCTAGGTGGATGCTGACTCCCGCCACGTCCAGGTCCTCAACGTCCTTGTGGTTCTGGAATGTAACTGAGATCTCTTGGGCTGCAGCTCCCTCGCTCGCGTCGACCTCCTGCCCATTGGCAGCGGTCGTGGGCCCAGCGTTTGCATTTGCTGGCGCCGTCGTGATGGACGACCACCAGGTGGAGAAGGCGCCCTTGGCCTGGGAGATGGCCCCTCCGACCGCCCGACTCGTGGTGTTCACCGCCTGGTTGATCTTCCGCCCACTTTCGCTGTTCTGCATGGTCCTGTAAAAAGGTAAACAGTGAGTTTAGATCACGATTTGCTTATTGCCAATAAAGAATATTTTTTTTTTATTATAATAAGTCATTATATATATATTATATATTATAAGGCCTTTTTAAGATGGCATGTTACACGAAGTTAATAATTATGAACCACTTTAAATTTAGTGCTAATAAATGCACGCATTAACTGTTACTTAGATGCTTCCTTGTATTTTGAATTAGTTTTTGATTTGCCACTCACTGTGCTAGTTTAAGTTTCATGTCCGCCACGGACAAAGTGCCGGCAAAGGGATGACCGGCGGGCAGGGCCTCAAAGAACTCCGGTTCGGGCCTCACATCGTACCACTCCTGGAAGCATTGGGTTCGCTTGAAGGCGCCCATGAAATGTGCATTAAAATGATCGTTGTCCTTGGGCGTGGCATCTATATTTGATTAAATTAGTTACATTTTATGTTCCACACAATTTCTATCGAGGCACACCCACCTGGAGCCACCGCAGTCCGCAAGAGGGCCAGGATGTAGCCCTGGAACTGCTCCCGGATCCAGTACTCGCTGCCCTCAGCATCCTCCTTGGGCGATTGCACGTGCTTCATGATGTAGTCCATGTAGCGCAGGTCCTCGGTGCTCAGCACTAGCTGACGCCTCACCTCCGGGTCGTGGGCATCCAGATTTGCCGCCTCGATGTCCACCAGCACGTCAGCCAGCTGACGCTTCTGCTGGAACAGCACGTTGGAGGTGCCGATGACATAGGAGAGCACCATGGGATCGCTGAGCAGGTCCATGTACGGCAGCGACAGATACGGCAGGCAGAGATTCCCGCTGGCGAAGATGCTGACCGGTGCCCGATACTCATCCGGATTCACTGCGCACAGGGCGGCGAGGTTGGCTGCGGAGAAAGAGTTTTAATACAGGCCAATCAATTAGTAAGGCAAAGTAATGGTAAGTAATAATATAATATAATTTACTGGGTGTGTTATTAATCAAGTCGTTCGAATTACTCCCAACTTAAATGGGCTATATATATATACGGATACTCATATAAAACCTAATACAGACATATTACAAGTTATTAAAACTTCTCACAAATGTTATTAAATTGCATACAATCAAGAGACGAACTATTTTTGCCCAGTTTCCCGACATCAGTTGGTCAGTTGCTAGGTTGCTACTCACACGCCAGTGTGTCCACGCTGGCCTCCCTGGTCAGCGAGCTGTTCCTGCCGTTCGACGAGTCCTGCGACTGTGAGTTGGGTGTGGACCGCGGCGAGGTGTCATCGCTGCTGGCCTGCTCCTCACCGGCAGAGGCTGCGGACGAGACGAGGGCCAGCTCCTCGGCCTCGCCCTCCGTCGCTGTGGCGCTCTCCGGCGTGAGCTTCTGCTCCTCGTGGCCAGCTCCGCCGACGGAACCCACCGCCTCCAGTTCGGCCTCCGCCAGGGCCTCCCGCTGCAGCGAGTCGGTGAAGTCCGGCATGGGCGACAGAGGTCGCGAGGTGCGTACACAGGCCACCTCCTGGAAGCCCTTCTCCAGCAGCCGCGGCACCAGCGACGCCATGCCCAGTATCAGGACGCACATTTGACGCACGGGCGAACCGAAGCACACCACTCGTCGCTGCAGGAGCAGGAGTTTGAACAGCATGAGCGACTTGTGGCGCCAGTGGAGCACTATTTCCCGCAGCGACAGGCCCACATGAAAGTGACGCAGCGGGCGACGGGACTCGTCGTCCTGGAGGCAGGCATTCAGCTGCTGATACGCCTTGACCAGCAATTCCGTGCAGGAGAAGTCGCCCTGATCGAAGAAGGCGTCGGCGATGAGGGCCAGCTTGACCTCAATGTACCCGTAGATGGGCAGGCGGGCCAGGATGCACACGGACTTCTGGACGGTGCTCCGGGTGACGTCCGCCGTCCGGATCTTCAGCTTCTCCACTGGTATTTGCCGATAGCAGGACACTCCGTAGATACTCGCCGCCGGCTCATACAAACTGGGCAGGTTGAAGAAGACCGTGTCCTCGGCAAAGTTGTGCGAGCCATCCGGCAGGGCCAGGGTGGGCAAGTACTTCCAGCCGGAGGGACACTCGTGGCGTCCCGTGGAGCCCGAGATTAGGGGCGGGTGCGAGAACTCCACCTGGCAGCCCAGCTTGTGGTGGAAGCCCACCACCAGGATGTGCAGGATGGGTGGCTTGTTCTCCGGCTCGCTGGCCATCGTAGCGGAGCACGCAGTGTCCTCCAAATAGGCGTTTTTACTCGCAAAAAGAAACCGGAGCAATCGGTTTGGCCACTACCTCATCGGCCCTCTCGCTCGCACTCGTGTCGCCACGCCACGCAATTGTTGTTCCAAGAACTGCGCACTCTTTTTTCGCAATTAAATGATATTGTTTTTCCCCGACTTGGCTAATTCCGTATTAAAAACAATCTTTTGTGTTTAATATTTTACTCTAATTAGACAATCGCCGGTTATCGATAGGCTGGATTTTGGCAAGAACGTTATCGATTTTAACCAGTGCGATTGCATCACGATAAAATAGCGGTAACATTTAAATGGGGCTAATGGCTTTTATAAGGGTTAATTCAAAAACATACAAAATGCGAATAATAAGTTAAGCAATTATCGATTATAGTATGTTTAAATTAAATATATTGATGAAAACGAGTTACGATTGAAAGTAAATAGAATAATATAATAATACATAAATGTAATCTCTATAATCAAAAATACTCATTTGCATTCCAAAAAGCCCGGTTATTTAAACATTTTTTGTCTATATTATTTTAAAAAGATTTGTAAAATGTAATTTTAAATGTATTAAAATGGATGTTATACATCTCATATATTAAAATATTTTTCCCAATATGTAGTTTGTATCCCATTTTACAGATGTAAGATTTTATTTTAAATATCTCATTTAAAATATTTTTATAGAATTAATTTAAGTACTTTTTTAAACGCCTTAAAAGCAAAAAAAACTTATAGAGTTTTTTAGTTCAAGCGTTCTTGCTATTATAAGTGCAATTTTTCATAAATAATACTTACCAGCTGGATGTTCCTATATAAGCTAAGCAAATACATAGCTTCCAAAACAATATTCTTTCTCCAAAATGTTGATTCACAAACTTTCCCATGGGAGATTTTGGTTTCAGTAGAGATTTTGTTAGATTGAGTGCTGAGCCTCGGATAGTAATTATGAATAGATGTTTCCAAGTGTCAACAAGCCAAAAATTAAGTCAAAAACAAATTCTGAAAATAAACGTGTAATATTATACATATAGTAGACAGAGCATAGGTACTATATAAACCGCCTGTGTATGATGGCTTTCTTAAACGTTTTTATATTTTCTGCTGTTTTCTTTTCGGGGTTTCTCCTATGTGTTTTTTTTCTTATGGATTTTTCCGTTGTTTTTCCTTTTTTATTTTTGTTCGTTTTCATTTCATTTAATTTAGTTGGAGAGTATTTTTAAAACGAACATCGAACATATAGAATCTAAAATTGGCATGAATCGGATTGTTTGTTCTTTACAAAATATGTTTGCCTGACCTGATCAGAGAAACTCTTGTTCAATGAAAATATTTTTTGGAGCAAAAGTACTGGAATAATTCATTGCTCTAATAGGAAAATAAATGTATAGTTAATAATAGGAGGATATGGTTTTTTGGTAACCGAAATTGGAACTCACAAAAACTCGTATTTTGCTGTTAAGAAGTTTGAAATGCATAATAACAAATATTTCAAGTGCAAAATGTTTGACGAAATCTAATTGAATAACTACTTCAAGCCATAAATTATACTTATTCAAGGCTGTTTAAAGCTATTTAATTCATAATTACTTGGGATTAACACATTTGAAATCAAATATTTGTCCAGAACTTGAATAATGTTTACGTTATTCCTGATCTATGCAGATATTACCCACAGTTGCCCGTAAACATCGCCCCAGAAAGCTAGCCTATAGATAGACATATAGAAGATATTTAAACAAATACATATACGCGCATACTTTAATATGTAATATATATTTATATCGGGGGCTTCGTGCATACGGCATACGATCGGCACTAAAGACCGAAGGCTACAGACGGTAGCGCCCACACAAAATGGCCAAAAATAGAACAACAAAAATTCGAAACTGTGCTATTTGTTATTCCCTGATTTTCTGATATTCTGATTTTCTAATTTTCTTATATTCTGATGCGAATTGAAATTTAGTTGAAGGCATACCCGAAAACCCCTCCCACATCTGTACGGATTACTGAGCTATTTGGCCCGATGTTTGCCATAAGTTCATAGTTGTTTATCGAACGGAAGATGTTATGTGAATCCAGGCCAGATGGCAACCGAATAGCCCCCGAAAACCGTTTACAGATGTCGGATATATATCTGGATCCCCGGATCGTCTCATGCCCCCCATCCCAGATAATTCGACCTGCCCATGCCCACCTGTGTGTCCCATGGCGATTCTCTGTAGATCTTGGCAGCCCATGCATAATACCTACACCGCACCGGACTACCCATATATAATATATCCGCTGTGTGCATTTCGCATAGGTGCAGATACAAAATTGTTCTAAATTTAAGAAACTTGGTAACCAAAAACGAAATCAAAACAAAAGGCGAAACTCGTATTTTTACTGCATGGGGAAACCAAATGCATATTATGCTAAGTGATTTCACAATATTAATTACTAATACTAACTAACTACCATACTAATTTTTGACATTCATTGCCCTTTCGGAAAATTGGATTTGCTGAAAACTGACCAAAAACCTGCACTTCTTAGTCCATAACTTTTCCAACAGAAGTTCGATTTTAAAACAGTATGTCTTAAAAAGCTTGAATGCTAATTCCCGAGAAATCTGCATTCAAATTTTGGTTTTTTAATTTTTTTCGGTTTCTTGTCATTTTTAATGATGTTACCCCTTTCCAAATTTCTGAAAAACGGCTTTTCAGAAAAGTGACCTAAACCTGGACTTCCAAGCCATAACTTTTCCAATTTAAGTCAGATTTGGAAGCGGCATACCTTTAAAGTCTTGTGGTTTAATTCTCTAAAAATCTGCATTCAAATCTTGGTTTGTAATTTTTTTTCGGTTTTTTGTCATTTTTGATGATGTAACCCCTTTCCAAATTTCCGAAAAACGGCTTTGCAGAAAAATGACCTAAAACCTGCACTTCCAAGTCCATAACTTTTTTAATTTAAGTCCTATTTTGAAGTAGCATACCTTTCAAGTTATGTGGTTTAATTCTCTGAAAAACTGCATTCAAATCTTGGTTTGTATTTTTTTTTTCGGTTTTTTGTCATTTTTAATGATGTAACCCCTTTCCAAATTTCTGAAAAACGGCTTTTCAGAAAAATGACCCAAAACCTGCACATCTCAGCCCATAACTTTTCCAATTTAAGTCCGATTTGGAAGTGGAATACCTTTAAAGTCTTGTGGTTTAATTCTCTAAAAATCTGCATTCAAACCTTGGTTTGTAATTTTTTTTTTTTTTTTTCCAAATTTCCAAAAATCGGCTTTTCAGAAAAGTGACCTAAACCTGGACTTCCAAGCCATAATGTTATAATTTAAGTCCCATTTTGAAGTGGCATATCTCTAAAGTCTTGTGGTTTAATTCTCTTAAAATCTGCATTCAAATTTTGTTTTGTAATTTTTTTTTGGTTTTTTGTCATTTTTAATGATGATGATCACAATTTCCGAAAAATGGTATTGCAGAAAATGACCCAAAACCGGAACATCTAAGCCCATAACTTGTTCAATTTAAGTCCTATTTTGAAGTGGCATACACTAAAAGTCGTGAGGTTTTATTTCCTGAAAATCTGCATTCAAATATTTCCTTGTATTTTTGTTCCGTTTTTTGTCATTTGTTTCATTTAATTCTTTGAAAATCTGGGTTAGCTTTATGATATTTAGTCAAAACCGAACCAAAACCAACAGCTAAAACAAAAGGCTATAAGGTGCGTAAGGGTATATAGAAATATTTGGCGAAAGTATCTGTTTGAAAGAAAAATAAAAATAACAAAGAAAATAGAGAGAAATAAAAAAAGAAAATCGGAACAATGACGAATAGATTCAAGTGTTAGACAAATGGCAATGCGATGGGGCCACCTAAGGCCGTTCGACGTCAGCAGTCCGATCGAAAAATAAAGACGGGGTAAATAAATATATATATAAATATAGGGGAGGGGAGGCAAAAGGGGTTTTTTGTAGGGCGTGCACTCTGGGGTTCAAATGCTGCAACGATCCGTTGAGGAATCTAAACTATATGTGCTATATATTGCCACGTACATGCCACAAAAATATATGCAGGCCGACTTTTTAATGGCTGTGAAATTTATGTTCTACGATATTTGATTCCAAAAACAAATGTGTAAAAAGCCGCCAACGCTCATGGCGTCCATATAGCTATATACTTATGATCTAGTTATATAGTATGCCTCATCTCGCTCTGGCCAAAATGGAAAATTGGAAAATTCAGTTCGCAGTGTGCGTGTGTACAAGTTTATGTTTCAGTTGCAGCCCACCTGAAAATCCCCAAACCCCACCCACCACCCACCACCACCCACTTGTTGCCACATCGGCCATAGCTATCTCTGTCCCCCTCGCACCCATTGGCAGCCATGCGCTATATAGAAAAGCGATCGGTGTGTGCGTGGAAATGGCTTTTCCGCGAACGCGACCAAAAATTCTTTAACATAACGTGTAGCAGCGCTTTTCATCGTCAGTCTGTTTAGTCGAACCGCAGCATTCGCTCCTACGACGTCAGCTGCTCGGACTTCAATTCAATTTGTTTTTCTCCCTAAGTAAGTTTTTTTTTTTCTGTTTCTGCTCTACTGCCGCTTCACATCTCCTTCTACTGCTGCATCATCAAAAAAAAAAAGAAAAAATATAAAATAGTGTGTCTAAAAAACAAACAGTTTACAAAAAAGAAAACCAAATCCTTTGGAAATGAACCGAGAACCGAAAATCAACAATATAAAGCCACGAATTGGAAAACTTTAGTGTTATATAACATCCTTTTTTTTAAATTTTTTTAAAGTGAAATCAACGAACGAGTAGTGTGATAAAATGACTTAAAGCCAAAAAAAAAACTCTAAAACAATTTCAAACCAATTTTTTTTTTCAAAAATCTTTTTTTTAAAATTTTTTTTTTGATGGCTAAAGGCTAAAAATAAATTGAACAAATTCGCCCAGGCATTGGCAACGACAACAACAATATACAACAGCAACTACAACAACAGGATCAGCAGCAGCAACAACAAACAACAAAAGCAACAACAATGCCATACAGGAATATATATATACATATATTCAACCAATTCTCGAAGTGTTATATGATCTGAGAGGAAAAGTTCTTTCATTTTTTTTGTTCAACGAATTTTAAAAATAAATTCGATTTGTATGGGTGTGCGTGTGTGTTTTTACCTTGGCAAAATATCCAAGACACACGCACACACAGATACGCAGGGTAAAACTTTTTTCTATAGCTTTCGGCGCAGGCGCCAATTTAGATACATTT